ACAAGTGATCACAGTGATATTTCTTTAAAGTTTTCTTGAGTTACCCCTCTCACCCTCAAAGTCTCTGTTTCCTTTTTTCTTTTTTTTTAATTGAAGTACAATCAATTACAATGTGCTAATTTCTGATGTACAGCACAGTTTCCCAATCATGCATACACATACATAGATTCATTTTAATTTTTTTTATTAAAGGTTATTACAAGATATTGAACATAGTTCCCTGTGCCATACAGGAGAAACTTTTTAAAATCTATTTTTATATATAGTGGCTAACATTTGTAAATCTCAGACTCCCAAATTATCCCTTCCCATCCTCTTTATCCTCTTTCTCCAGTAACCAAAAGATTGTTTACTATGTCTGCGAGTCTGTTTCTGTTTTGTAGATGAATTCATTAGTGTCCTCTTTTTTTCTTTTTTTAGATTCCACATATGAGTGGGGTCATATGGTGTTTTTCTTTCTCTTTCTGGCTTACTTCACTTAGAATGACCATCTCTACATCCATCCATGTTGCTGCGAATGGCGTTATTTTATTCTGTTTTCAAAACTCTCCTTTTACCTGCTTTCCATTGCTCTCCAGGTGTTCGGGGCCTCCCACGTGGTGTTTTCCTTCCTCCCTGATTGTCTTCTTTCCTTCCTTTATTGTTAAACATACATTTCACCTTAGTTTTAATTGTATAAGTAATGCCTATAAAATTTATGTAATAAAAATTCAAATAACTCAGATAATTCAAATGTTGCCTTGAGCACCAATCCCTAGTCTCACTTCCATTTCCAGAGATAATCACTGTTATTAGTTGACATATACCCTTCTATATATTTTCCTCTACAATTACTAGGTTGGATTGTATGAAATTGTTGCTTTTGTAGGTCACAGTTGGTCAATACCAGCAATTTTAAAGGATTCATGCTTCCCTCTGTATGTATATAGAAAGAGAGAGACACACACACGGAAGTATAGCATGTTATTTTGTGGATTTTAATAACCTAAGTAAAATCATGTTGTATTATACATATTTTACTGCAATTTTTTTTTTCACAGAGTAATATATCCTGGAGATCTTCTAGGTTGGAGCATGTAGCTCTACCCTATTCTTTTTAACTGCTGGTAAAATTACTTAGTGTCAATCATTTATTTACCTTCTCCATTCCTCTCGCTCTCTCTAACTTATCTATTTATTGCTTGCTATTATAAATCCTACCATACCTGTACATGCCTCTTTGTTTATGTGTGCAAGTGTGGTTGCACTGAGTTACGATGAGTCCAGTTCAAAGTGAGGAAATGTAATACTTGAGTCTGTCTCAGACCCTTTTGGAAGGTAGATGTATCATTTTACCAGGCTATTCCAGACTTTGAAAGAAGATTTGAGCCTCTTTACTATTCATATGAAGTGAACAGGAGGAGGGCTTCACAGCATCTAGCATGGCGTCTCATTCTAGGAAGCGATCTGTCAGATGAAAATAATTCAGAGTATTTCAGATGTTTATTAGAACTTCGTATAGAACATCTGTGAGGATTCGATGTCTATCCCATGGTGTAATTCTCATTTCCCTTTCCTTCATTAAATTCTTGTTTCTCATTTCTCTTGCTCTCAAAATCTCTCTCAACCAATAGCTACCATGGAGATTCTCAGTTTACCTTTCAATTTCACTTTCATAACGACTTCCTCCAAACCCATCCCTGCATAGGTTTTGACTTCCTCGGACTTCATCTCTCCCTTTCACTTACTTTTTTCCTACCAGTTGACCTCCCTCTCCTGTGACATGATCTTCTTAGACTTCTAAGGTAAAAAAACCCTTGACTTAGAAGATTCTCGGGAAGGAGGATAGGAAGACTGACTTTTCCCCGGCTGTAGGGAGCAGAGAGAAAGATGACTCCTCCATCTTTCCTGGAAGTTGCAGTTTTAGCAGGAGAAGGAGCTGAGGTGTGTGAGGCTGCAATGTTGCCTTAATTTTTAGTACCTGGAAATAAAATGTGTGTAATACACCTTTTGACTATTTTCTTGGAACTTTGGAGGAGACAAACGATAGCATAGAATTCTATGTGTAGTCTCTGGAAGATATAAAAAGTTCCTCCTTCTTGATTTTTCCAAAGAAGAAAGACTGTGTGTTTCCTAGGAATGCAGGATTAATATACTTCTGCAAAGGCCTCTGGGTTCCTCACTGAGGACAGGGAAGGAGAGAATGAAAGGATAAGAGACTTGGAAGCTTAAGCTTCTGGGCACAGATTGATGAACAGCTGAACAGTTGTTTGCGGGTCACTCTTGCTACATGTCTTACCCCGGCCTCTGCACCCCTGAAGTCCTAGGAGAGAATTGTTGGCACATGAGAAAGCAATACCAGAACTTTTATTCTTACTTACTTTTTTGCCTCATCCTTTTT